TTGCTGTTGAATTGAATTTTATGGTTTAAGTGTGAAAAAGATGATATATAATGAATAAAGGTAACATGTAAAACGTTAAAAAAACGTCATTTGTGGCTAATATAAAATCTGAACGCTTTCAAATTTGTTTCCTAATTATTAAAATTTTTTCAGTTATCCCTTTTTGTCACCGAATTATTTGTTAGTTATTTTGAGTTTGTATATAAGACTATCCAAGCATAAGTAAAAAGCATTTGATACCAAATGCCCGATTTATATGCAGAAATATACAGTTACCTATTATCAAACAGAAATTTGAAAAAAAAAAAAAAGATTTAAATTTTTCTGAAGCACTTTTATTGTTTTAAAGCGGCTCAGTTTAAGTAGACTGATATAAGCTCTTAATAAATTAAAGATATTTTGTCTTGCAAATTACAACACTTTGACAAGTGACTATTTGTGAAATCGTATGGAATATAAAATAATGATTTTACGTTTCGCACAATGGCAGCGCTTTCCAAATCCTGTCGACGGTAAATGCAGAGTAACGTAACCTATTGTACGAACTATAATGCTGTCAGAGTTACAAATTGTCAAATCAGTTCCTATCATGATCGCCACGCTAGGAAGGATCGTGATAGGAACTGATACCATGATCTCCTGCTAGGAAGAGAGCAGCAGATCTTCCATTTACCTAGCCAGATGCTGTAACATGCACACTACAAGGACACGCATCGGGAAAATGCAATCAGTCATTGCAATGCAACGTAAGTTACTAACAAGAACTTTTGGAAAGATTCTGTTAAAAATGTTTCTGTTGTTGAAAGAAAATTAAGAGGATTCAAATTATGCGAATTCGTTCTAATTGACATCAGATTCGATGAACTGCTTTTCAGACATGCGGGATTCTCGAAGACAGTTCTTTCATTCCTTTAGTTGGCATCTTGCCATTTGGCAAACATCGCGTTCGAAGCGCCGTGCAACGCGCGGCAACACCTCGTTAAAACGCGTCATGCTGTTTGTCAGTATTTTGATGCGTTCTCGTTGGCCTTCTTCTTTCCCTTAGCAACAGCGCGGTCTCAAAGGAAAATACTGTGAAGATTAATCCTTTGTCTTACAGTTTGTCGCGTGGTGTCCAAGATATTATTTTCAAAAATGAACCCGAAACGCGGTAAGCGTGTTAAATTACATGCAGTTTCGGTTTATTCTGACTGCAATATTATTTGCAAAGGCAATATATAGTAAAAATAAACTTAAAAAGAATGTTGGAATTTGAAAGCTTTAGATTATAATAAAACACTTCAAAGAAGAATTTACTAAGAATCTTTAACTTCCTTTTCCTTTTACAAAGTAAAGGAATTATAGAAATAGAACCAAAAAAAAAAAAAAATATTTTTAGATTTCAACGGAAATATCCATTCGGACTGTTCCCAAATCCATTTGAATGATGTTTCTGCTTGACATCTGTACGTATGGACATAATAAAGGACTCTTTATTCCAAAATGAACTGTAAAATGGATTCAAAACAGATTTAAAATGGACTTTTTAGTGACGTCTGCACACACGAAAGTACGAAAGTACGCATGTATGTCACATAACTCGAAAAACGATTAGCTGTAGAACCTTAAATTTTTGTATATGTGGCAGCTATGCCATCTAGTTGTGCACCTCCCCTTTTTTATTGCAATCGGCAGTGCCTAAAGTATATATAAATATGTGTGTGTGTGTACAAGATAAAAATATGCGACCATAAATTGTACTTTAAATTAACAATAGCCCCTTAAATCTTTTTTTTTAATTTGAGTACTTCCCCTCTCTCATCTAAAAAAAAGGAGAAATATGTTCTGATTGCTTCATATTTGAAAACTAATTCAGCGTTAAGTCATCTTAACCTTCTGCATTTCATATAGTTCTCATCCAAACGATTAAAGAAACATAAAAATGGATTTTTTAGTGACGTCTGCATATACGTAATGTATATGTTTATTTGCGGTTTAGTTGCATTTATCTCGTACAACTCAAAAACGATTAGCTGCAGAGCCTTTGTATATGGAGCAGCTATACTATCTAGTTGTGCACTTCCCTTTTTTATTGCAATCGGCAGTACTAAAAGTATGCATATACATGTGTGTGTAGAAGAAAAAAATATGCAATCATAAATTATACTTTAAATTAACAATAGCACCTTAAATAATTTTTGTTTAAAATTTGAGCACTTCCCTCTCTGCTCTAAAAAGAGTAATAACATTTTCTCAGCTTCGTCATATCTGAAAACTAATTAAGCATTATGTCATATTAACCTTCTGAATTTCATATAGTCCTCATCCAAAAGATCAAAGAAGCATTTTACCATAAATGTCACAGCTACCAAGTGCGCAGCCTCTTTTCTCTCCTTTCCTGCTTCGCCTGGCCACGTATGGTTTTCATTCGTCTAGAAAAGGTGTACGCTTTCAAAATTATGCGGGTGCATGGAGCACCCATAATCATGATATGTTAACCTGTTTTAGTTAAGGAAAAAAACTGTGAATGAATTCAGTTCCCTTTCTGCTAAAATTTTTCTTATCCTCTGTTGGTCATCTGATGTAAATTCTTGTCTCCGGATATCTACATGGCTCTGCCATTCTATATGCGCAGCTGATACTGATTAACCGTTATGGTAAAGACATAGTGTCCACGTCCCCCGTTTCTTGTCCTTATTCTTATGTGCGTAGCTGGGAATCAAAAAGCCGTCTACACCAAATCAGTACTGTTGCGCACGTAAGGGTCCGATAATGTACTGAATGCACACCGAAGCGATGATAGCTTGATAAAATTTATCTCCTCAAAAGAAACACTTAACACTTCTGGAATTTTTCACAAAAATACTAGTAAAATACACAAAAATACTTCTCGGTATCACGGAGTACAATCTTTAGTTACCCTTTAAACTACTAAGAACGTTAAACACAACGTAATGCAAAGCGCATTTAAACAGCGAAACTCACACTCAATACTTTTAAGTCAAATCTGAACTGAAAAACTGATGCTGTCTTCCGTCTTCGCCAGTTTGGCGACATCTCGCCAATTTATTGAGATAGCTTATAATGTTCCTCTATACTTTGTTTAGATATAAAGTCGGAAAACCTAACTAGTGAATTATCGCTGAGTTCTGCAGTTTTTGATATCATTTTCAACTTTCTTCGAGGAATCGATTAATAAAGTTAGAAAAATCCGAAGAAATAAGTTTAAATGAAGTGCCTCAAAAAAATAGATATGTAATAAGCGTACAAGGAAGTCACGTCAGATTATTTTATAGTTACAGTACTATAAGCAACCGAATATCTGGATGGAATTATGAATCATCCTGTATAACATTTAAAATAAATCATAAATAATCTCCAGTTACCACATGTAAAATGCTTTAATTTTCATTTATTTTAAAATAAACTGCAGTGCTGATGACTCATGAAGCAGTTCCTCAAAGCATGTTTATTTGCGGTTTAGTAGCCTACGAAACACAAAAGACTGTTACGGGAAAAAAAATTGAGTTTGTTAACTTAAAATTGCAGTCTAACACCTCGAAAGAATAAAAAAGTTAGGATGATAAAAAAAAATTAAATATATAAAAAAATTACGATTGGGATAATACCGCTTAAATATTTTTCCTTTCTCCTTAAATAAATAACACATTCTGTTCCTAGCTATGAAAATGAATTTCCGCTTTAAAAGTTCGGTTTCTTTGTGACTTTTTTTAACCTAAAATGAAATAAACAAATATTAAAAAAATAATAAAAAATTCTGAAACCTTTCAGATTTTACATTAGGCCTAAAGGGATTTTTTTTAATGTTTGTGTGTTATCTTTATTTATTAAATGTCATGTTCTTCGCGCTTAAACCATAAACTCCAGTTCAGTAAAAAACAGCATATCTTTAGAATTTCCGATACACAGTCTCGCGCGTTGGAGATAAAAAGTTTTTTTTTTTTTTTTTTTTCGTACAGTGTTGCCTTTGCTCGCTTTGAAATCTGTGAGTTTATTAATCAAAAATTCGTTAAAGTTTTACAAAATATAAAATGGATAATAATAAAACAAATTGAAAATTCCAGATTTGGGCTTCCAGATGTGGAGGGCTACGCTATTCAAAAACTACGTTATTCTAGTGGAGGACTACGTTATTCAAAATTTGATGTCTCTAGTTGCCGTTGTGTTTTCACAGTGCGAGAAACAGACATACATTTAAGCAGTTTCTTAATTATTTAACTTCTTTAAATATAATGCAGGGCTCTAATAGTTGGTGGCAACAATTTGAAAACTGAAACGCCGTTTTATAGTGGACGACGCAAAATTTCAAAACGAAATTAATAGCCCTTCTGGGCTAACAAATATTATTTGACAAAAATAAAAACAGAAAGATGTTGCTATAGGATTTCACTGTTGTCATTAAATTTTATTACGGATGCAGACTCAAAAAGCAAAATTTTGTAAAACGTTACTAAGAGATCTATTAAAAATTACTTTTCAAGTGAGTAATGTTGTACTGAACCACACACTTCTATAATTTTGAAGATAAATGCGCATCTTCGTTTGACAACAGCGTCGATTCATTGCGAAAATGATTGTTACCATCAGCGCGTTTAAAACAAATCTGAGATCTAAATTGAATCCTGGAAACAGTTTAAGACAAGCAACTGTTTCTTTCTTAAGAAATCACTAAATTCTTCAGAGGCTTCAATTGTTTAATCCTAAATATCTCCATATTTATGTGACTATAAAAAATTAATTCTTGATCATAATGATGATAAACTTCGCATAGCAACGAAAATGATTCAACAGGCTGGTTCTGTAGAAAACAAATAACTCATCAAACGTTTTTAATTTATTCCGATTCGACCAATTCAGGCATGCGCATTACTAGTGGTACGTCACGTGAGCTCTAAGAAGTGAAAACAGGCAAAGAATGTTACGGTCGTACGAGATAGATGGCGCTGCTTGTTTTCCGATCTTAGAAAAGCAGACGAAATGTCTCTTGTTTACTAACTATTTATTGAGCCACTGAAACGAAACGTGTTTGTTACTACAGAGATATTAACGGGTTTGTGGTCTCGGGAATATTGAAAATTTGTTGGTGTTGGTATAAAGAAGAGTAAGAAAATGTAAAAATTGATGAAAATTCGTTTTCTAATTTCAAATAAAAAAAAAACTATTTCATTGAAGAAATCAGCAGCTTTTTTTTCCGATGAAATCGCAGCTGCAAATGTAAGTTGTTAATTTTTCTTACGTTTCTTTTGTTCTGTTAGTATTATACAGATATTTTGTACACCCGAATGCTGATATATTTATGGTATCCATTCCAATCATATATAAAGAGATTGTATAATTTTTCAATCATAGATTGACTACAATCCATTTTGATAAATAACACGTAAGTGCTCCTTGTAATGCACCATTAAATACAAGATGTGTCCATAAGTAACCGGACAATTTTTTTATAAATAAAAAAAAAAAAAAAGATTACTAACCTTCAAATAAATTTATTTCCTTTAAAATAATAGACACACGGTCTATGCAAGTTTTCTAATATTTCTTCAGACCATCCGAGCCCTGCTAACAGGTGTCGGAACCGATCGTTTGCAAAATACGCGTAGTATTTGATTTAATATCGGAGACGTTTTCAAATCTTTGTCCTTTCATGGAGTTCTTAAGTTTCGGAAGAAGGAAAAAATAAGCTGGTTATTAAGGCGGAAGAATATGATGGGTGATTTATCACTGCAATGAAATGTTTAGCAATGCTGTTATACAGACAATGCTTGTATGGGTCCACAAAAGGTTATTTTAAATTGTCCCTAGCATGATATGTATCTAGCTCTTTAAAATATTGTGTATTTTAGGAAATACTCTCCCTGACATAAAATGTAATAGGTAACTCACAAAGTATTTAGTTCTTTAGAATAATGTGTACAAAATAGTACAATGTGCCACAAATGTGTTCTTTAAGAATTACTTAGTGTACATAGCACCACAAAAGTGTACTCTAAGAATTATTTAATGCTTATAGCACCGAAAAAGTGTACTATAAGAATTATTGCCCTTAACATAAGCATACTGTGCGTATTATGCTTATCGTAATTAACTATTGTAATTAGTGTTATTTTGTATAATCTGTATTGTGTGTTTAATTTGTTTTTATTGTATTTAATGTATAACGTGTATTAGATATTCCACTTATATTTATTAAGTGTTAATATCAGTTACCTTGTATGCTGTTAACAACTATAAGTATGCCTCCGTATCGCGATGTAGAATGCAAATTCAATAAATTCCCGAAGCTGCCGTTGTAGGGCAGCTCGGAGTGTTGCAGATTCGAACAATATCCGATCAATCTATGTAAACCACCCGGTTGTCTGGACTTTCTTTCGTCGCGCGGAGGTCGACTGGGGGCAACCCTCGGCGTTGTGCCTAAGATCTGTGCTTAGACAGACTCGTGTCTTGGGGTAAATAGATCGTCTTCATGGGACTAGAGTCATCGACAATTCTGTGGTCCGTTCATGTTTGACGGGGACTGTATCAAAGCTGTAACTAGGGTTTTTAGCTCCCAGGAACAACTGAAGTTTTCGCGCCCCTTCTGTTTGCCTTGACTGGAAGACATTTCATTCTAAAAATTCGTAGCATCAGTGGATGTTGCACTCGGGCATAAATGTTCCCCCTTGCCCTCCTCTAGCTACGCCCCTGGAACTCATTGGTATTGTCTTGTCTGTCCCGGGTCTATGTGATCGCTGCATGGTTGATAATGAGTAATTATCTTCGGGGGGGTGGCCCCATTCGATCTTCTCGAGGGGGACTGGCATTGTAATTGATCACTTATTTGTTCTAGGAAGTGACCGAAGTGGTGCTTATTTGCAAGAAGTCTCAGCAAACATATTGACTAGACGTTGTATAAAGCCCAGTGTCTACCGCTGGGTTTTCGACCGTGTGGATTGTTCCCTAGGGGATGAGTGCGCTTCGGACTCATCCCCTAGGATGTAAGGGCGCTTCGGACCTAGATAATGAAGCCTTCCTACTGAATGATCTGTTCATTTGTAATTGTCAGATTGCCATCTAGACGGTATAGTGGAATGCTGATTGCTGAACCGATTGGTTCAGGGTCGAATCCAGAAGGAGGTATAGACGTTTGTAATTTTATAGTGCATGCGTGGCAAGGAGGCTCTCAAAATATGCGTCTAGCCAAAAGTCCTTGGGAGTAGTTGATAATAGGGAAACAGGGATGGGAGATCCTCGAAACGCCCCTCGGAGGGTCCCTCCATCCAAACTGGGGCGGTCCTTAACAGTTATCAAGGACATTTTAAATTTGATATATCTTCGGCAACTGGCCTTGTTTCAACATGTACTTCATACTTTGACTGCTGCCTTGAACCTTACAGTGGCTAGCGATGTTGGCTGCCATCTCCTTGGGCTCATGTTCGAATCACGGGCCCACCAGCGGCCGAGCGGTAAAGACGCTGAACACTGGTAGTTCGGTCCGAGGTTCGAATCCAGTGAACGGGCTGGCTGCATTGGCGTTTTCGTGGTTTTCCCCATGTGTAACGTGTATACGAGCCCGTTTACCTTAGAAAGTCCTCCACGAAGGCATCCCTTCCTTTAGCAGATAGCCCTCGTGTGCTTTGCCGTAATTGAATAATTCAATCCAATCAACCCATGTTCGAATCCTTCAGAAGGCATGGATGTTGTTTGTAAATGTTACACTGCCTTAGTGGCATAGAGGCAGTTAAAATCCTTGCGAGTCGAAAATCTTTTCGAGTAGTTTGGTAGTAAAAAAAGAGGGCTGAGAATGCCTCGAATCCGTCCCCAGGGGTGATCTCTGTCAAACTTGGAGCGGAGTTGTACAAATAGTGCAGTGGGATTATACCTGCACGGCCAATAAAGAAATTCTAGTGTATCGCCCAGTTTCTGCTGATGAATCTTTCTGCTTTGATTTCAGAAAGTTTTGCAGAAATGTAAAGAATTTTACCCATTACTCTATTTTTTTGCAAGCATCTTTTAAAAATGAACTTCGTGTGCTTCATTTACTAAATTTCATTTGTATATTCTTAATAAATAAAAGTTTAATTAAGACACAATAACACGCCGAATAAATACTAATTCAGAAGACAAACAACAATTGTAAATATAACGCTGATTTTTGTTGTTTGTCTTCTGAATTAGTAAATAAAAGTTTGTTTTTAAAAAATGTATTTCTTAATTTGCTTTTCATTAAACACAGGTTTCAAATTTTGCTTTAATTAAAAGTTTTAATAATTAAGTAAAGGTTTTTTTCCCTTTTTACTTGTTTTGTACGATGCAAAAGAAATATACTGTAATTGCGAAAAATTACGACTATCATATTTTCATCAAAAATATCCATTTTTACTATTTTTTACACAGCATTTATACGGACGGACAGAATAAAAAAACTGTTTCTCCAAATCTATTTTAAAATTGAACTGTACGTACGTACGTATGGATCTCGTATGTATAAACAATAATTTAATTATAATTATTTCATTTTTTCATTTATTGTTCTATTGTAAAAAATTTAACCTTTCTGTTTTCTTTCTTTAATGTATCATACATTTTTTCAGCAAACTTTAATAGCATTTTTAATGGTTACTATTCATCAGTCCAGTAGGACTTTACACTTCTAAATTACTAGAGTTACATAATATTAATTTAATTTACTTTATTTAAAATACAAGAATACTGAAATACCTAGGAGGTAATAATTAAATTCTAATATTATATATATACATATGCATGTGTGTGTCTGTGTGTGTGTATGTATTATTTATTATTATTATTAACATACACTGCCATTTACCCGGCTTAAAATTCTTACCTGGTCTGCAGAAGAGTTTTAAATGACATAAATATTCCTATTTTGGCAATGTAAAATTAAAAAAAAAATAATAATAATTTTGAAAAATAACGAAATCTAACTTTTAATGAAGGTCTCCCAATTTCTATACTTATATTTGGGAAAGTTCTATACTCGTTATGAAAAGAAATTATAAGAAGTTTGACTTCCGTATGGCAAAAATTGACCGGGATATTTAATTCAAAATTTGTCATTTTTTATGTCATTTTCAACTTGCCTCGAGGGATTGGCTAATTAAGTTGAATAATTCGAGGAAATAAGTTGAAATAAAGTGCGGCAAAAAATGTGTTCAACTTATCGTATAAGATGTACACTGCTCAAAAAAAAAAAAAAAAAAAAAAAAAATGGGACAGTGCAATATCACCCGTTCTACTGGGCCGATTGGCAAAATTCAAACTGCGTTTTTCATGTCTCGAAAGCGCGACTTAGGATATATATTAGATTTATATATAGCACTATTCTAACATACGTATTTTGACACAAAATCGGAATTTTTCTGAAATAACATACCAATTTTTTTCCATATTTCGATTCTACGACTCAAATTATGCCAGAATACCAAGTTTTGTAAAAATCGTACGAGTAGTTTTTAAAATATTAGCTCTCAAAATTTTAGCTCCTCAATGTTAATTGAATTGGCAAATATTTATTAATATCTCTTTTTTTATATTAACTTTTTTGATTTTTTTCCTTTCACATTTCGAAACTTAGGTTCATTCCAAATAAAATTTACCCATTTTTTTGTGTTTTATTTTTTAAATTTCTATTTTTTTAAATAATTTTTTTAAATTTTTCGAAAACATTTTGAATTATAACCTATAAAATTTTTACCAGCATCTTAAAGTAGGTGTAACTTTTAAGCATATCTGCAAAAAATTAGACTTTTTTTATCAAAATTTTCTAAGATATACACGAATTTACATATTTTCGCGTTTTGAAATTTGGCATCTTTTTTTTGAGCGATAATAACGCCAAATATGGTTTATGGATTTTTGTTACAGTGAATTGCCACAGCTATTTTTAACCTTAAATTGCAAGTAAAATTTTACGGAGAATTAATAATATGATATTGTTTCTCTCAAAGATGCGTAATAAATATCGTAATAAATCTCTCAAAGATGCGTAATAAATTAATACTATATGAAAAGCTATTTTTTTTAAATTATAGAAGATATTATTCAAATTTTTAACTATTTTTTTAATTTCTTTCTTTCTTCCTTTTTTTAAAAAAAATAAGAGTAAATTTTTGTAAGAGTAAATTTTTACCTTCGGCGTTTTATCGTCTGCTACTTTACTTTAACTTCGCTTAATTCGAATTGTCTAAAACTGAGAATTTTCGTTTGATGTT